AATTAAATCCCTGCAATGAATGAGCAATTTGCAGCATCTGGACTCAATTGTGCAAATAAAAAAGCAACCCTTTTGTGATGAAAATATACCTCGGGCTCTTTGGAGATGAAGCTTATCTGCATCCGCAACATGAGGGAAGGAAGGAAGGAAGGAAGGAAGGAAGGAAATAAATATCAGTTTTGCTATCAGGAGTCCCTTGATGGTAAATGAAGCAGCATGAGCAATTTTTTGTCACTGCAAGATGGCCTGATAATCTGGCAGTCTTGGAGAAATTTAGCATGATTTTTGATGGATTTTTACACTTTTCTGTGTGCACAAATTTTAAATGCTATCAGGGTTGCCATTTTCAGGGTTGACTAGGGATGCAGCTTCACACCTGTTGTCCTCATCTGCAAGGACAAGGAACTGATAAATTATTCTCCTTGCTTTGCAGAAGGGAAAGAAATGTTGTGACACTTTCAAAAGGAGAGAACAACACCGTTGGAGAAGGAGGAGCACCAATTAAGCAAAATTGTGTAGATTTAATGCAAATAGCACAACTCTGCTGAGTGATGATTGCTGCTGGTTTGTTGCTTGGATTTTTAACTATTATAAGCCAAAGGAATTTTAAACAACCAGTCTAGGATGCTAGTTTTTTCCATGGAAACAGTTTACAAAATTATGGAAATATTGATGAGAAAAAAATGCTCCTTTTTTTTTCCTTTTGGGGATTTAAAATTCCTCACCAAGGCAGATTTATATCAGGGAGTCAGCCTGAATCAACAAGAAAGAAGAATTTAGTGAGTATTCTCTATTTTCACCAGAATGGATCATTTATAAATAGCTGTGTTGAGTGGGTGGCATCTAACTTTTTGTTCAACTTATACATCTGTGCTTGCTGTGTGTTTATAAGTGCCAGCACATTCTTAGCAATGCAAAGGTAAAATATGCTAGTTCTGTACAGGAAAGAAAAAAACAAAACAGGGAGGGGGTGTTGTGTGTCACGATTTCACACTAGAAATGAGATCTCTCCCAGGACATGGAGAATGTTAAACAGGCTACCTTGCCATGTCAAGATGGACTGAATCAATTAAAAACTCGCCAACTGTAAGATTCCCCCCCACACACACACACACACATTCCTACTTATATCAGAAAACACCAAAAAAAAAAATACCCCAAGTAGATGAAACTATCCATACTCTGTAGATTTCCATATCAAGCCCTTTAGATGCCTGAAAGGGGAGGGATTGTATTTTTTATTCCCCTACCCACTGTTGATCAGTTCCCCATTCAAGGAAGTCTTTGCATTTTGTAGATTAAATTCTGCCTTCTAGAATTCTGCTGATTTCTCCTTCCTGCTTTCCCTTCTATATTCCACCTCTATTATCTTAAATGTTTGCAGACCCAGAGCAAAGATTTGAGGTAACTCTCTAGTTACAATATCTACTCATAAGATATTGACCCTGTTTCTCTTCAGTACACCTTGTTCAGCACAGTTTGCCAAGATAGTCCAGACTGGCTCTTTGGGGGTGTGTGTGAGAGAGAGAGACAGGAGACCAGGCTATAAAGGGTCTGTTGATGTTGAAGGGAAGAGTGATGTGTCATTTGTTTTGCCCCTCCCATCTGAACAGCAAACAATGCCGTATAGCCCAATCAGCTATCAATTAAGCACTTTCTCTGACTGTCTGAGAAGGGCCAGGGAAAGTGAAATAATATTTCTACAACACTCCTCTCTTCCTCTGTTGGTGCAGTTCCGGTTTTTCCCTCCCTCATCCCCACTTCCCTTCCTTTGTTCTCGCCACACTTTCTCAAACTGTCCCTTGGAATCTGTAGCTGCTGGAGGCTGCTATCTCCTGGCTAAACAATGAGCATACCAAAAAGACTGCATGCCCTATTACAGAGCCAGAAAAGTGCCTGACCGCTCTTAAAAGGGAAGGATGGATCATTCTAAATAGAAACACTTGCAGACCACAGCTTTCCCCCCCCAGCCATTATATCTATATGCCACCGTGGACAGGCCCAAAGTGTATCACAGAGTAATAATTTGTGCTTGAATGGCCCTCCCCAAGTCGTGGCTGAGCATTGACTGGAGGGCACTTCACCCCTAAATGTCTTAGGAGGTGTCCTCTTTCTCAAGCTGACTAGGGCCTCACAATTACCCATTGTTTCTAAAACATCGGGCATCTCCTATGTATGCTTGCCCTTTGTCAAGAAAAATTTACAGCGATCTATTGAGCCTTTTCCTAACTAGAACACCTTTAAGCTTGCAAAGAAACCAGGGTTCTCAAGAAAATAAATTAAAAACTTTAATGACCCTGTTGGATGTTTATCATGCAATTGAGCTATGTGAATTGAGCAGAGTGAAGATTTGTGTTTCAAATTCTCAAACTCTTTCAGAAAACGAAAAACTTGCATTTGTTGAATATTTGTGAATATTCATTTCAGCTGTACTCAGAAAGTAAAAGGAACCTTGTCTGCACCATATAGAAAATATGATATCAGCTGCAGTTCTCGTTTTTGGAGTGATTAATGAGGCAGGAAATGAAAACGAGAAATCTGGATAAATAATGTCTACTCCAGGAGAATGAATTCCTCTGAAACTACAGAACAAACTGATACACTGACCTCCAATAAATTACTCTGGCAGTTTTCAAACCATCTGGGGGAAATAAAGTTTTGCTCTTTTGTTGATGCATGCTTCTATAGAGCTTTAGTGACAATGAAAGGCTGTCTCATTGGGAGGTACACGTTTCCCACTAGCTGTTTTGATTTAAGGTTAGAGTGTCCTAGAGGTGCATCTGAAAGCACCATACTTAAGAATGGTCAAGAGCATATAAAGCAAGCGGGCAAACAATTTATCTGCTCCATGTTACTGATCTTCGTTTGATAAGCTAAGGCGCATGAACCAAATGAAGGTGCAGAAATCCTAGCTGAGTCCACACCAACAGTATCACTGCAATTCCTCTTTTCTTTTCTGGTTTATTTTAAGAAAATAAGAAACAGAGTCTTTAGGGAAGTAGGGAAGAGAAGGTATAGAATAAAGACTGTGGCCTAAATCCCATGTTAATCCAAAATAGAGGTAACCTTCCCCTTACCATGGGACTAATTTGATAAATTAGAGTGGTCAAAATGATTAGATAGGCGGGGTATGTATGTATGTATGTATGTATGTATGTATGTATGTATGTATGTATGTATGTATGTATGTATG